GTGGAGAGACAGAGAGAGAGAAACATCCGTGTGAGAGACACATCAATTGGTTGCCTTCCACATACCCCCCTACCCAGCCCAACCAGGCTGGGGATCGAGCCTGCAACTGAGGTATGTGCCCTTGACAGGAATTGAACCTGGGACCCTTCACTCTGAGGGCCAATGATCTAACTCAGGGGTGGGAAACCTTTTTTCTGCAAAGGGCCATTTGGATATTTATAACATCATTCTCGGGTCATATAAAATTATCAACGTAAAAACTAGCCTGCTATATTTGGTCCAACATTTATTTGAATTTGTTGAATTTCGAGTCCCACCTGTGGATGCCTTGGCAGGGCCAGACCAAATGATTTCAGCCCATGGGCCAGACATTCTCCACCCCTCCCTGCCTAACCACTAAGCCAAACAGGCTAGGGCTAGGAGTCTTTTTTTTTTTTTAAACAAAGGTCTTCAGAGTAGAATTTACTTTTTGATAAGCCTGTTCTCATTTTAAACAATTCTACATTATTTAGACTTGTTGTAATGAAATAATGATAAGTGCTTTGTTCCTTTTCTAAAGTCTGGGATTTTCCAGGGGTGTGCTTTCCACTCTTTCCTGATGATCTGAATCTTAACTCTTCAAAGGTCAACTTAAATTCTCTCTTTTTTACAGTTAATTTCCTGTTCACCCTGGTGTATGGTATTTCTTTCCTCTCCAGTTCTTCTGAAACATACAGTCTCTGCGTCTCCTTTGACATTGAACATGCTATCTTGTAGTCTTACTTAATATTTTAGATGTCTGTGTTCTGGTCCCCTGTTAAAAGTGCCAGAAATCATCTGTAAAACATAGATGTCAAGGAAAGAAATATCACACATCAATACAAAGCAGGGGCCATTAGATCAAATTCACATATTCACCATATATTCAAAATTCATTGGGTTTCTACTACATGATAGACATTATAGTGAACACTGGGGATAAAACAGTGATTATGATGGACACAATCTTGTACTCATGGAGCTCAAGGTCAAGTGTGGGAAATAGTTATCAATCAAGAAATCACATAAGTGAATGTAAAGTTGCTACTATGATGAGCACTGCGAAAAGGAAGCCATGGGGTTCACTGAGAGAGTATACCTGGTAGATCTCATACAATGAGAGGACTAGAGAAACTTTCTCAGGCAAAGGAAGATTGAACTAGACCTGAGGTATAAAAAAACTGTCAATGAGTTGCAGGGGCTCCAGGCAAGGGGTGTGCAGATCCTTCTGGTGGGAAGAAGCAAACTGAAGGAGAAGGAGAAGTTTACATTAGATGGAGATTGGAAATGAAGGATTTTTGCATGTCCTGAGCATGTTTTGAAAGCACTAAAATGACATGATCAGATTTTAATTTATACATCAAAAGATTTATAAATTATGTAGAACAGGAAAAATAGCCCTGTTTTGGAAGAGGGGGTGAGGGCTCTCCAGGAGAAGAAGAATGGCAAGAAATTTACAGTGCTGTCTGATACCAGCAGGCCAAGGCCAGAGCTCATAATAGTGGTTGGTTGTCTGACAGTCTAGGGATTGGATGTGGGTGTCGGGTAACCATGAGAAAGAGGAGAAGCTGGAAGGGAAGATTGCCTGAGAAATTAGGTAATCCCAGGGGCTTGTCTGTGTATTGTGTATCCAAAGAATATGCATTCATATAACTATATATATATATATATATGAATATATATATGTATTCATATGAGTGCGTGTGTGTATATATATAAGTGTGTATATATAGAGTGAGTGTGTGTATTATATATATATACCCAAAAGATGTGTAATTTTATCAGAAATATTTGAAGAATTAAAATGAAATGGCTTGTTACCTATTTTGCTATATACCTAAACTTATTTCATTTTCTTATTTTACACATTTTCTCACTTGTGTAAAATTACAAGAGCACTTCTATTTTTAGCTTAAACTTTGCATCTAAATATTTCCATGGAATTAAGAATAACCACTTGGCTCTTCAAATTTTCATCTGTACTGGAAAAATAATAATAAATGTGTCAAGGATGTAAGCATATATTTGCAATGAACACTTAATAATTTTTTTGTTGTTTTGTGTTCATTTTCCTGACCATGCCCCATCCCATTAGATCCGCACCATTAAAACATTCTTACTGTGACTGGGATTTAATTGTTGACTTAGTGAGAAAGAAGACTGCTTCTTTTCTTTTCTTTTTAATATATCTTTATTGATTTCAGAGAGAGGAAAGGAGAGGGAGAGAGAGAGAGATAGAAACATCAATGATGAGAGAAGACTGCTTCTTTTGAAGCTCAGCTCTGTCAGGATCTCAAGTAATAAACTAGACTTTTAAGGGGGAAAAAGGCAAATATGGGATGACAGAGGCAAAATTGATAGCACCCAGCCTTGCTCCCAACTATCCACCAAAGTTATAGACAATATTTCATTTGAAATGTTGGTGACAACCTAATCAAACATGGAGTTCTAAAAGTTATAGACTATCATATTTAACATGTCCCATGCGCTGAATAAAAATATCTCATGGTAGAAAAAGTTTATTGAAGATGCTATTTTTTTTCTGTAGTAACCTAAATATATATGTTTTCTAGCCCTGCAGCCACTGCTGTGATATCTCTGGCATTTGGACGCTACTTTCTGGAACCATTTTTTATTCATTGTGAAATTCCTGAACTTGCAATCAAGCTCATTACAGCTGTGGGCTTAAGTGAGTATGATAGATATGAATGTGAAACAATTAAAAACCCACAAAAGTGAATGGAGACAAAGTTTCTACAGACTTTTCGCATGGTGGGAACTATTTTCCTCATTATATTCTTTTTGCTCATAGTTCCTTGCCAAATTTGTGTTGGAAAATAATGAAAAGAATAAGTATTTGGAGCGATCCCTGATACTGCATTACACGCCAATTTTGCATTGGGTCAATAGCCACGATGGTGAATCGTTTAAAATAGGCAAAGAAAACTACCTTGTTAGTAAAATAGAAATTGGATTGTATGAAAAAGAGACAATTACAGATGAAAACCCAATTATTTTGTGGATTTTTAATATTAGAAATTTTCCTTCCTCGGAGATAACATGCTGAATTATAACTCATTTATCCTATTGGACTATGATGTGTATGTGTTGGATGTGTGTGTTGTGTTTATACATTTTATAGTGTTAGCAGCTGTCGTTAGTGTTATGGGTTTAGCTGTCCATTGATGGCCACGAGTCTTCTTTCTATATTTGATTAATAGTAGCATTTCTCAGCTAGGAGTTTTCTTTATGGTTTCCAAATTAGTAAATTGCTCATTTTTATCAATGGGCACAGATAGTAGAAAAAGTTTTAAAAAGAAATTAAAAGAGGATTTTGCACATCACATAAGTGATATAAAAGCCAAGTGTGGCTAAGTTCTCAGAAGGGCCTAGCTTCCAAACCCTTGACTCTTACTGGAAACTATAACTTAATTCTAGGTGCTAATTGAATCACTGTTTTAAGAATCAACATTTGATTGTTTAAATTACTTGGAAATAGAAAGCTACACAGAAATAACTGGATAACATAATTATAGAATTTTTAGTTGTGTGTAGCTCAAGTATTTTAATAGGACAATGAAGAGAATGATGAACATTTGACAGCAGAGAGGTGAGTGGTTAGTTATCAGGAAAGAGGAATTACACATAAAAATATGGTAGTGGTTACAGCTCAGGCTCCGGAGGCCAGCAACCTGGAATTGAAACTGTGTCACAATTTCTCAGTTTTGTGATTTGGTCGTAAATATTAAACTACTTTAAACATCAATCTTACTTATTGGCAAAATACCTGTGAAAAGATAATTTATCTTGAATGGCTATAGAAAGGGAAGCTATGCCAAATTTTTAAGGCCTTTAGCAGAATTGAAATTTCTGCTAAATTCTTGATAAATCTGGTGTTCCACTAAGGGACATACTAAAAGCCAATGTTGTGCCCATTCTATTCTTGTCCCTGGATTGACTGAGGCAGAAGCATATCACAATTATTATATTTGAAAAGAGAATGGTAGGGGTAGTGTTTTCAAGAGCTCTGTAAATTGCCAATAGAACTTACTAATTAAAAGCCATAACCAGCAAACTTTAAATACATTCTACGTAAACATACAAATCCATGAGCATTGCCCACTTTGGCCTTGAAGCTGCACCACAACTAACACATTACTATTTTGCAAAGTCTAGATGACTATTTTCTTATTTATCCAAATTCTATTAAAAAATTTTAAGGGAAAATTTGAATTTTAAGGTAGTAAATGGTAACCATTCAAACCAAAATTTTGAAGCAATCATATATAAGGATAACTAAGTACCTTGCAGTTTGCAAAATTTCTTTCTGTAGTAGAGATTGGTGATCAGACAGTTAACAAAGAGCCTGAGTGTATCTTGGATGAAGCTAGACATTTTTCTCTACTTATGCCATTACTTATAACATTAGTTTACAAATTCTCATGTTCTTTTGCTATCTTGAAATTCTGGGGAAATGTGTTCCTATTATCAGAAGCACTAAAGAGAAAAAAATGGATATTCTTGTGACTCAGTGGGAAATAATGTAAGTCAGTGGCCTAATTGGGAATGTCAAACTGTCTTTGAGAAGAATTTAGCTTTAATGGAGCAACAGGAAGTGGAGATGGCAATAGAGAAGGAGAAACTCACCTGGGGGCAAATTTTTCACAGTCTGCATTACTCAAAGTTAGGGTAGGTGATTTTCTGCCTGCTGGGGGTGGAGGGTTAGTGAGCAGTACAAAGCAGAGTCTCATTGCATGAACTGCTTCCTCATATGGGGGG